TAAGTATAATTAACACCCAATAATAATGAATAAAATAAAGACATGATAATAATAAATACAATACATATATATTATGGAATTGTCAAATAAATATTTAATAGAAGGCTGTTCATTAAATACGTCAACAAAAATTATAAAAACTAAAAGAATTAAATCAATACAATCTTCCATACAATTATAGATTTAAATAGAGATCAATTATAGATACATAGTTACAGTTACAAACAGTAATAAACTGACAAGACGTAACTAATAAAGATGACATAAAAACGATTATCGATAAAAGAATACCAAGACTCGATAAATATAATAATTTTACTTTTTATAATATAATAGCAAAAATATATTGTAAGTATAATAAACAAGTAAAGAAAATTTAAACAGAAAAACACTTATTATACATAAAACTAAGGTTAATAAAAGTAAAAAATGCATTAGATGCATACACAAAAATAAATGACATATAAATATAACAATAAAAATACACATCAATATAAACAATGTATTCACTAAACAAAACTTATAATTTTTTTCTTGTTCTTTTCTTTTAATGACATTATTGTTTCTGGTAGACTAACGTAATTCATTTCGTATTTTTTTTTATTTTTTTTTTTCTTTACATTTTCGAAATATTTTTTTTTTACCGAATCTTTTTTTTCTATTTCGTACGTTATTTTGACTTGCTTTTTATCTTTATTTGTTTGTATCTTTTGATCTTGTTTTTACTTCATTTTGTTTTATAATTTAATATTTTTTTAAATGGTATTTTGATTTTTTTTTCTCCATTTGATTTCTTTCCTTTTTTACCGTTAAATAAAAACATCCTCCATTTGCGATGTCATTGCAAAGGATTGATATTTAAAAGGATTGGTATTGAATGCTGTTAGGTCCTGAAGCCTTGCTGTCATTAAGAGAATGAATAATCGATAATACTTCATTTTTGTCTGTAGGTTTTATGAACATTGAATTAAGATTAGGATTTTTAAGATATTTATTAAAGTCAGTATTGGATGAGTGGGTCTTATTCTGTAAATCTTCTGGAACTGAAACAAAGAATGAATTTAAAAATTCCGAAATTTTAATGGGGTTGTATATCATGGAGTTGGTAGAAGATAAGCATGAAGGAGATGAGTTAACTCTCGAACTAATGTTTTAAAGGTTCTTAATACCATCCCATGTAGATTTCAAATTTTCGGCATTGTCAGAGAAGAACTTGAGTAATGGTTCTTTTTACTACGGCGGGTGTGAGTAACAAGTAAGTTTCTATATGTTTTATAAGATTTTTCTAGATTGAGTTTGTTATTAGGAATTTTTTGCTTTAAGAAATTTATTAAATATTTTATTTTGCATTTTAATAGAAGTCAAGATTCCTCGTGTTATCCAAGGTTTGAGACCCCTTGATATGCAGCTATTGCTGACTTTTTTTAATGGTGCATGTTTATCTAAAAGAGAATTGAAACTTGAGAAAAACTCTTCAAATGTCTTACCTTTGTTGACATTGATTACATTAGTCCAGCTAATTTTTGAGAAATCACTACATAATTCGATGCAATTTATTTGTTTTAAATTTTGACGAAAAATGAAGCTTTTATGAGTATTAATTTTGGTTTTATAAAATGGGTGTATTAAAAATTGGGGCAAATGATCTGATACCGTAGAAGTAAAATTACCGACAAAAATATTTGTAGAAGTTGCAGTAGAAAATATGTTATCAATTAGAGTTTTGGAGTGATTTGTGATTCTTGTTGGCAATGAAATAAACGGAAAAAAATTATTTAGAGTTTTTTTGTCTAAAAATTTAGAGACGGAGTTATCTGAGTTTGCTAATAAAAGATCAACATTAAAATCGCCTATTAAAAAAGTAGTTTTGTTTTTTTCCATAGATAGCTTTTCGAAAAGTGGAATTAAATATGATTTAATAAGTTCTGAAATATCCATACTAGGATGGTGATAAATACAGCCAATAATGATGTTTAATTTTTTAGGAATTATTATTTCCACAAACACAGATTCTAAAAGCTTTGGTTTAAGCATATTAAGATCATATCGAAGTTTGTAAATTAATGTATTCGATATTTAAAGTAAAGCTCCTCCAAAATAAGATTTTGTCGAAGTCTGCTCATAAACATAATCGGTAAGATTTAATGGGATAGTTGGTAGAATGTGATTTTTTAGTTTAGTTTCAGTTATGCCAATATTACTGAGTTTATGATTAAAAAGAGATAAAAGTGAGTTTATTATTATTATTATTATTAACTGAAGTTAGTTATTTATTATTATTATTATTAACTTAAGTTACTTATTTATTATTATTAACTGAAGTTAGTTCTTGGTAGCAGAGAAGGTTACCAACTATTTTTATATTCAAATTGTTAAAATTGTGGAAAAAAATGCTGTTATTTCAAATATTTTTATAACACCAGAAAGTGAGTCAGTGATTTATTGTTGCAGAAAATATTGTTCCATTTAAAAAAAAACAAAAAATGAAAATATTTTAAACACATTTCATATTTAAAGTATAATCAGCAGCTATATTTATAGTTTCTTTAGGTGGAATATTGGTAAATAAGCTTTTGACATCATAGGAAACTATATACTTGTAGTCGGTGTTTTTTGGCTGTTTGCAATAGGTATTGTCTCTGTATTTTATTATTTGTAATTGTTCCAACAAAGTCTGTGATGAGTTTAACTGCTCTTTCATGTCATTAACGACTCTGCATTTGTAAATCAATATGGCAGCTTCATTATATGCTGCATCATACATCTTTGCACTGTATAGGATTGTTGTCATCCATCAGGCGTGACTTAATGCTCCAGGCTGTAACCAGTGTACATCATGAGGTGGTTCTTCTACCAGAATTATTAGCATCAGCTCAACACTTTCCCAATACTTATCATGAGGCATTGCATCTTCTGATGCATCATCAGATTCAGGTACAGACATTGTATGCTCTAAAAACTTTTATTCTTTTAGATTTTGTCCCCAAATTTCAACCCTTTACAACTCTCTCCTAATTTTTTTGTTTTTCTAAATCATACAACCAACAACTTTTCAAGTCATTGGTCAACTGTTTTCTTGCTCTTTAACTCTGTTCTTTGTTTTCTAGTAAATCCCAACTTATCAGTAGTCACTTGCAGCCTTGTTGGGAATAAATTAGAATTGAAAAAAAAAAAGATGAAACAAGATTAGTTGCTCTATTTTGTATGTCTTCAATTGCATTAGATGCAATTGAATTGCATGCCTTTTAAATTAGAAGATTTAACCAGAACAGCAAATTCAGGAAGTGAGTGTATGTTAATTTGGTTGAATGTTAATTTAAAAAAAAAAAATCACATACAAATTTTGCAAACAATTTTTTTTATTTTCCATATTTTTTTATTTGTCCTATTTGAATTGCTTTTCTATTGCCATACTTGATCTTTCCATTTAAGATTTGTAAATTGTTTTTTTGTATACGACTTTATAACATAAAAGTTTTATTTTGTTTTTAAGAAAATAATTGAAAAACCCCTTTAGTGGTATTCCATAGAAATAACTCTGTATCTGGTATACTTACATTTCCTGATTCAGTTAAAAAAATTAAATCCAATATATGAACTGCCACTTTGTTTGAGATTTGGAAAGTTAAAGCATTTATACAAGGTGTGCTCAAAAAGATGGGTTTTCAAATGCAAACATTTTGATCAAAGAATTTGCATCAAATTTTGTTTTAAAAAACAGAGTTATGTGCTTTAAAACATTTGAAATGTTGACAGTGACATACTGTGAATCTGTGTGAATCTCTGTGAATCTGTAACACTTAAAAAATGCTTTTAAGTGTTACAAGAAGTAACACAAAAAGTGTTACTTTTTAGCTAGAGAAATCTAGCTCTGGACATCCCAGCACATCAACAATTGATGAAAATGTTGAAACAGTAAAAAAATTGTTTTGAATAATTAATGAATTACCATAAAAGAAGTTGCTGAGGATGTTGGCATATCAGTTGGTTCATGCAACTTTTTCAGAAACATGTCATGCAACTTTTTCAGAAACATGTCATGCAACTTTTTTTCAGAAACATGTCATGCAACTTTTTCAGAAACATGTCATGCAACTTTTTTTCAGAAACATGTCATGCAACTTTTTCAGATATTTTAGGCATGAGGCATGTGGCAGTAAATATTTTTTTCAAAACTGCTTAGTTTAGACCAGAAGAATCATCACACAAAAATTGCACAGGACCTTTTGAATGATGTAAATGATGACCCTGATTAATCAAAAAGATAAATCATTGTAAAAAAGATAAATCATATATGCTTATGTTGAAAACAAAGCCCAATTGTCCATATAGAAGCAATACATACACAGCGCTATGTGAATATATTGATAATAAAAGAAATAAAAATCAAATATGTGGACAAATTACTTGATGAAAAGTTCTGGTCAAGCAAAAAACAATATTATAAAAATGCCAGGATTTGTGCATTGAATTGTTGCTTGATAGAGATTTGTGAGAGAGCAAAAACAACACCTCAATCATTCTCCAGCCACCATATGACACAAAGACTGCATCACTAAAAGAGTTGATCAATCAAAAAGTGCTTATCAGAATTGCTGCAAGGAATTAAAAAACCGTTGGCATAAGTATGTTTTATCTGGGGGGTGGGGCGATTACTTTGAAAAAAACCAATAAAATTAAAAAAAAACAACAAAATAAAACATAAAAATAAAAACAAACACATTCTGCATTTACAAAAATAAATAATTCTAGTCAATTTAGTTTGTGTTTTTGCGGTAATTTAAAAAAAGTTATTTTGCAATTAAATTAAAGGTTTTAACTTTTAAAAAACACAGGCATTGTTGCCATTTGAAAGAGGGCTTTGGTTAGGTTGGTTTAGTCAGCAATATTTAATTTTGATTATTATTTAATTTTTTCTTATTTATATTTTATAGCAATATTTATATAAAAAAGCGATTGTAGTTCACAGAAATTTATTTTAATTTTTTTTTAATGTAAAGGTGAAAATTTTTAAAGACTTGAAAGACCAAAAGGATTCAGTAAGTTTTTTTTTTTGCGTTTGTTTTTATTGTCTTTTATAATTCTTTGTTTGTTATAATATTATTATTATAATATTATTATTTTTATTATTGCTTTTAGGACTAAACTTATATCAGGATATATATATATATATATATATATATATATATATATATATATATATATATACATACATACATATATATTAGGGTACTTTTAAGGAAACTTTTGAATTTCAATTAACTATCTCTTGAAATGTGGAACATTGGTGTTAAAAATAACTTTGGGAAAAAATTAGCCTGATTGGACCACTATTGTGCCTCCCCCAAACCCCTTTTAATTAAAAAAAGTGGCCCAAAAATGACTATTCATATAGCTTGGGGGAGGTAATAATATCAAAATTTTGAACTGATTTTTTTTTATTAGATAGGAATAAGATTTATGCTTTTTTGCAGCAAATTTAGCTTCTAAAATCTAGCTATCAACAGTAAGTAGTCGGTTCTGAATTTCTTTTTCTTTATTATATCTGTGAACAAACTGTTGCATCATTCCTACTGCTTTTTCAGCAGGATCATTTACAACAACTAGAGATTTAGTAAAATCTTTAAATATTTTAAAACTTGATTGTGTGTACTAGTACTGAGGTTGGAGTGTCAACCAGTCTCTAATCCTTTGTTTATCCAATCCAATTCTATCAAACATCAAATAGGAGAACTGATCAACTAGTAATGATAAACTTGGGGGATCATTTTAATCTCTCTTTTCAATCATAATCTTGTTTTCCACTTCAATGAGGCATCTGTTGTCAATTTTAAAATAATCAGAGTTTGGCATGTCATGTTGAAGCATAGCAGAGGCAATCTTCTTTCTTTGTTAGAAATGTCTTTATCCAATAAAGAAAGTGGGACAATTGTAGAATCTAGATAGCAGGAATATTTGTAAAATGATTTTAATACTGCTTCAACTGCGTCTCGTTTGGTACAAATCTCTTTGTATAGATGCATTTTATGTATTGATAAAATTTGATATCCTTATCAGATTGCAAATATCATTTTGCATAAAAACATGCTATGAATTCCGCGATGATATTTATTTCTTTTAAAAGTAGTTTATCTTCCTGATTTTATTTGGTTACAGGGTTATTCATTTTTATATGCGCGTCTATTCATTTTTATATGCGCCTTTATTCATTCTTATATGCGCATTTATTCATTTTTATATGCGCCTTTATTCATTCTTATATGCGCATTTATTCATTTTTATATGCGCCTTTATTCATTTTTATATGCGCCTTTATTCATTCTTATATGCGTTTTACAAAAGCAATTTTTAAATAGCAATTTGAACAAAAAAAAAATTATTTAAGCAATTTGTTTTGAAAAAACAGTTTATTTTTTCAATACAAATTTTTCTTATTTCCATGTAAACGAGGTTAAAATTAGTTAGTTTATTTAATTTAGTATTAGTTCTTTGTAATTTTATTAATAAATTTCTTGATTGATGAAGTTATTATTTATCTAGTTATTCATTTATCTAGATTTAAATTTAATTATTTATAATTATTATTAATATCAATACTTAATAGCTAAAATACTTAACAGCTTTACCATGTAATATGATACTTAATAGCTATACCGTGAGAGGCTAGTGTTTGCCTAATAGAAGGACTCCAGTAGAATTTACAACCCAGCCGGCACAACTCAGAAAATAGTTACGCTTGGTTTCTGTTGCGTTTTTAAAATCTTCTAAAACAAAAAAAATAACACGTATCCTAAATGGTTTTTATTCCGTGAAATTAACTATTACTATTTACCATAAATACCAGTTAAAGTATTAATGGTTTTACCGTTATGGAAACGTAGTATTATATTTTAATAACTTTCCGTAAGGAATGTGAAACCACTGATAAAAATATGCGACATTTAAATTTGACTTAAAAACCTCAAAAAACACGTGTTAAACTCTAGTAAAACTGCCCGTAATATACACGTGCTTTTGGTTTAGGCCTGGATCGTAAAAAACACGTGCCTATATAGGTTTTATTTCCGAAAAAGAAACTAGATGTGCCGATAGGGAATTGTCCATAACAAGCACCGGCGCTTCAACCTTTGCATTCATAATCACTGGTTCCATCATTGTAGTTATGAAAGTACAAAATGAATCTACATTCCAGCCTCCAGTTTTTATTTCATAAGCAAGCACTCCCATTGTTGAAACAGCGCAAATTAAACTAACATTCTCACCACGATTTGCAGGTGACTTTAAAGTTGCTAACGTAACTCTTCGTAAACAACCATACGTGCTGTTAGTGTTCACATTAAATCCAGTTTCATCCAAATAAATAAGTTTTTCATCTGAAATTCCGTTTATTTTGATTGCAAGTGCATAGCTTGCATTAATAACTGGTGTTGAGTTTCGTTCTTTGGCACATGCACAACACATTTTCCTGATAAATCCAAGCGTTTGAGTTTCCTTGAAATAGCAGGCTGAGACATGTTTATTGCTTCTTGCAAGCAAAGATTGTTTTCTTGTGCGCATAATTCGATAATATTTTTTATTTGAGAGTTTATAGGTCTTTTACCTCGTTTTTTATCAGAAAACGACTTAAATGCAGTCATGTTGTCGAATTGTCCTCTGTTTAACTTACAGGGTTATTCATTCTTATATGCGCGTCTATTCATTTTTATATGCGCCTTTATTCATTCTTATATGCGCATTTATTCATTTTTATATGTGCCTTTATTCATTTTTATATGCGCCTTTATTCATTTTTATATGCGCCTTTATTCATTTTTATATGCGCCTTTATTCATTCTTATATGCGTTTTACAAAAGCAATTGTAAAAAAGCAATTTGAACAAAAAAAAATCATTTAAGCAATTTGTTTTAAAAAAATAGTTTATTTTTTCAAAACAAACTATACTTATTTCCAGGTAAACAAGGTTAAAAATACTTAAAACGAAGACTTTATAAAATCGACGATGGTTTATTTAATTTAGTATCAGTTCTTTGTAATTTTATTATTAAATTTCTTGATTGATTAAGTTATTACTTATCTAATTATTTATTTATCTTGATTTAAGTTTAATTATTTATAATTATTATTAATATCAAATTATACATCCCTATGTTTGTATATGCGTCAACCACCCTTAAAATCTCTAATATAATTTAATATAAACGATAAATACGCTTTTAAATTTTTATATACACGTATTTAAAATATAAATTAGGTTGTTTTCGTTGTTATTTATTTAAGAAACGGTTGCCGAGCCAGCGCTTGATTTATATAACTACGCATATGGTTGTAAAATGGAACTATATTAAACTCTGTAGTATCCATAATATTTTTAAGTTTCCTGATTACCTCATCCGTATTTCGAGGCCTTTCTCCCTGTTTGTAAGTATGTTTTAAAGAAGAAGAAAAATTCTTCTATTGGATTAAGCTGTGGCGTGTAAGCTGGCAGATACTTAATAGTTATACCATGAGAGGCTTGTGTTTGCCTAACAGAAAGACTCCAGTGGAATTTACAATTGTCCATAACAAGCACCGGTGCTTTCACATTTGCATTCCTAATCGCTAGTGCCATCATTGTAGTTATGAAAGTACAAAATGAATCTGCATTCCAGCCTCCAGTTTTTGTTTCATAAGTAAGCACTCCCATTGTTGAAACAGCACAAATTAAACTAACATTCTTACCACGATTTGCAGGTGACTGTAAAATTGCTGACGTACCTCTTAGCAAACAACCCTATGTGCTGTTAGTGTGCACATTAAATCCAGCTTTATCCAAATAAATAAGTTTTTCCCCTGAAGTTCTGTTTATTTCGCTTGCAAATGCATAGCGTGCATTAATAACTGGTGTTAAGTTTCGTTCTTCGGCACATGCACAACACGTTTTCTTGATAAATCTGAGTGTTTGAGTTTTCTTGAAATAGTAGACTGAGACATGTTGAAACCTTTTGAAGAATGATATTTTTTTATTGCTACTTGCGTGCAAAGATTGTTTTCTTGTACTCATAATTTGATAATATTTTTTATTTGAGAGTTTATAGGTCGTTTACCTTGTTTTTTATCAGAAAACGACTTGAATGCAGTCATGTCGTCGAATTTTCCTCTGTTTAACTAAACAACAAAATTTTGAACTGCGTGCATTGATAAATTAAGAGAAGTAGAAATGTTTGTTGTAGATTGATTTCTTTCAATTAAATGCTTAAGCATTTCAATGTGCTCTTTTGTAACATTTTCCTTTGTTTTACGATTTGTACTGCTATTTTCTATTCCATCCATAGGGATATATAATTTGATATTAATAATAATTATAAATAATTAAATTTAAATCTAGATAAATGAATAATTAGATAAATAATAACTTAATCAATCAAGAAATTTAATAATAAAATTACAAAGAACTAATACTAAGTTAAACAAACTATTAGCGAAAACAAAGAACTAATACTAAATTAAATAAACCATCGTCAAATGTAAAAAGCCTTCGTTTTAAGTATTTTTAACCTCGTTTACCTGGAAATAAGAAAAATTTGTTTTGAAAAAATAAACTGTTTTTTCAAAACAAGTTGCTTAAATGATTTTTTTTTGTTTAAATTGCTTTTTTACAATTGCTTTTGTAAAACGCATATAAGAATGAATAAATGCGCATATAATAATGAATAAATGCGCATATAAAAATGAATAAATGCGCATATAAAAATGAATAAATGCGCATATAAGAATGAATAAAGGCGCATTTAAAAATGAATAAATGTGCATATAAGAATGAATAAAGGCGCATATAAAAATGAATAGACGCACATATAAGAATGAATAACCCTGTAGAAAGAAGTTGCAATTTTAGATAATATATGGCTTTTCTGAGGAACCTTGCATAATGGACAGCTCCTGGTTTCCTAACTTTTACACCTTCAGAAGACAAATAAGCAGCAACTAGTTCAGCTAGTTCTTTTCTATCGTCTCTTAAAAATTTTTTACTTTTAATATATTCTTTGCAAAAATTTAAAG